AATTAAAAAACTGGTTATATATTATAATTGGTATACTTTGAGAAAAACCGATTAAAAAAAATCGACCAGCATACGTATTTTTACTAATGGGAAATTATTAATCCGTTACAACTTACAACTTATGATCGATAGGTAATAACTAATAAGATTTAGCCATATTCTCTAAGGTTTTTAGAAAATATAATATAATAGGTTTATAATATAGGTTAATATAGAGCCATTTATATTGGCCAATATAGAATAAACGTAGTACATAATAATATCTGCTATTTCTTTTTTTGTGCTCTTTGTAAAATACGTTTTTTGTTGTTTATTATTAAGAATAAAAATTAAAAACCCTTACAGTCTTTAACAAATAATAATTGATATTTATTACATATTAGTGTACTTACTCGTATATACAAATATGTTGTTAGTCGGTAGGTAGGTACATAAAATGTGTAAGCACATAGACATAATATATTTGTTTATATTATATTTTAAAATAAAATAAATAACATTACATTTATAATGATGAATTAACCTATTTTACACACCTACTGCTTGTAATAAATTATTTAATGATTTTTATTTTTTAAAAGTTCAATGTTTTAAATGTTTAAGCCTTAAGGCTTTAACTGTTATAAGTACAGAATAACCAAGATAGTTATTATTCTTTATATAACTACCTTGAGAATTAAGTATTAGCTCTACTGATAATAAATGTTAACAGGTAAAAAAAAATAAACATTAACATTTTAAATAAATAGCTAGCTGGGGTTGTTATAATTAAATTGTCTCTGTGATAGTTAAAGGTTTATATTGAAAAAACTAATTCATTGGTTTTAATTAAAATTTTTATTTCAAAATGGTTTTCAGTTTTGACATCATATATTTATGTCATGTAATAAGTATTAAGTTCTACCATTTCCAGTTTCCACCTCTCTAGTATAATCTTAAAAATTAGAAAGACTAATATTACTCAACTACTTACGTGTGTTTAATATTAACATTATTAACAATTGACAGTTTTACCCATTTAATATATAAATATTCTGTGATTCTGTGTCGTGTGTGTTTACTTCCTAATCGGATTGATATGAAATTGTTATCATTTTTAAACAGTTATATTCTGTGTTGGATTATACAAATTAAATAGTGAATAGTGATACGAATGATACGATTTACATCACAGTTTACTTTCGATTTTCAAATGTAAAAATCAAATCAAAACGTTGTGTGTACCATCATATAGAGTATAGATTATACCTATCACTTAAAGTATGCAATACTCATTTTTAAATAAAAGACTTTGCGCATTTAGCATTAAATTATGCCAAAAAGGTCAGATAATATGTGCGAGACTGCTAAATACTGCGCAACGTCGAAACGTTGTCAGTTGTATTTTCATTTTTTAACACAGTAATAGATAGCTTAGCACAATTCGTTAAGTAAATCGATTATGGTACTATCTACCTACTTAAATAATTAATTAACCGTTTTTATATATTACATATTCATGAGAACTTATATTTCAAAATAATAATAGCATACAATCGTGAACTTTTTTCAATTTTTTTATTTTAACGTATTTCAGATTTACCATGTATTTGGATACAGATGATCTAGTGACGTCCAGTATAATTGCATTTCTAGTTGCAATTGTAGTGTTTGTTTTTAGTATTAAAGCGTTCAGATGGTTGTTTCCTGAAAGTGATGTAGCTGACAAAGGTTTGTCATCTCATGTATGGGTCGAAAAACCATCCTACATATTGAGTGTAAGTATTATTCAATCAGTTTGAGTTTATTTCTAACATAATGTATTAAATTAAGGTTTAAAAACAAATTACTGATAATTATTTATTTATAGGATCCAAATGCATGTATTGTATGTGAAACATTAACGCATGGATCTAAAGTTCGATATTGTGATAATTGTGAGATTTTCGTTGACTTAGGCTGTGTTAAAAAAGCTAACAAAATAATATGTTGTAAGATATTAAGTACTAATAGACCACCTAAGACATTTATGCACCACTGGAACAAATGTAATTAATTTAATAATTTAATATAGTTATTTTAATACTATTAAGATATTATTAATTATTTAACTTTTTTTTTGTTATAGCTCTGTTAATTGATGTTATATGCTGTGTTTGTTCCTTGGACGATGACACTGATAGTACTCTTGGACATTTTTTTCAATGTCTATGGTGCAGGAGATTTTTACATGACAATTGTATATCCAAATTTATTCAGGTATCAGTTACTTTTTATTTTTTTAATCACCCTTCTTAATGTTTACAATTATTAAATTAAAAGCTCAATAATATGTATATTTTTATTTAATCATTGAGAGATGTACCTATGCTACATTTATACTGCTAATCATACCTAATTCAAGTAATATAACTATAGTCAAAATTTCAAGTAGATTTTTAAATAAAATTATCGCATCAAAAAGTTCCTCATTGAAACATTAATAATAAATCATAGTTAATTTTTTTGTTATAATAGTTATGTTTTTTTTTTTTTTTAATTATAATTTGTTTTTAGAAATGTGATTTTGGAATATATCGTAAATATATCATTCCACCATTTTGTATAAAAACAAATAATCGATTTAAAAACATATCCAAACAAACAATTGAAAAAGTTATTCATCCTGGTTGGGAAAACTGGACACCATTAATTATATTCGGTAAGTAGTTATATAAAAAAAATTTAATTTATTTTTAAAATATATTTATGTAATATTTTAGCAAATAAGAAATCTGGTAATAATGATGGAACTTTAATTATTTCACATTTCCGGCGTCTACTAAATCCTATACAGGTATATGATGTTATTGATTGCCCTCCAGAAAAAGCTTTGGATTGGTTAAAAACCACACAGCTAGAATGTGTTTTCGTTTTGGTTGCTGGAGGTGATGGTACAGTAGCTGGTGTATTAAACAGCATTCATAATTTACAGCTAAAAGTATATCCAGCATTATTAAATCAATGATAAATACATATTTTAATAATCAAATGAATATTTTCAGGTAGATCCCGCTGTAGGTATTATACCACTTGGTACAGGCAATGATTTGTCTAGGGTGTTAGGATGGGGAACTTCCTATTCAGATTCTGATTGCTCTGGAATAATGGATTCTCTTGATAACATTTCAGTTATTAAATTAGATAGGTCAATTTTATTTTTTTAAACTTTATCATGAAAGAGATATTAACCAAGACTAATGATGATTATTTTTTACTAGATGGAAAGTAAATATTTTGTCAGATGTGTTGAAAAAGATAAGGTTAACAAACACTATCACTATGTACAACTACTTGGGAATCGGTTTAGACGCTCAAATAACATTGGATTTTCATCGTACTAGAAAGTCACCATTATATTTATTCAATAGTACACTGTTGAATAAAATGATATATGTGGGGTGTGGTACACAACAATTTTTAGAACATCAGTGTCAGGGTCTGCATAATATGATTGAGTTATACATGGATGAGAAAAGAATACATTTACCAGATATTGAATCTATTGTAATTGTGAATATTGAATCTTGGGGTGCTGGTGTAAATTTATGGAAATTGGGAGCTAATGATGATAATGAGTTTGGTGCACAGTTTATTGATGATGGACGTTTAGAAGTACTTGGCATACGATCTTCCATACATATTGCACAGTTAAAAATGGGAATTGCTGAACCTATTAGAATTGGTCAAGCATCTATGATCAGAGTAAGTTAAATGTTAATATTTGTATACAATTGATAAATTTATATTGTTTACTTATCAATTATCATAAACATTTTATGATTGACAGGTTAAATTATTACAAAAGTTACCAGTTCAGGTTGACGGTGAACCTTGGCTTCAACCAAAATGTGAATTTGTTCTTAAGCGGTGTAACCAAGCTACAGTTTTGAAGTTAACAAATACGATAATTTAACAAAGTAAAATAATTGCTTAAATTATTATTATTTATATTTCACTGTCCATTGACTTAAGGAAGGCTTTTAAGAACATTAATAGCTAGCGTTCATAACAGTATCTCACATATTGCACATTTCAGTTGTATAACTATTTATTATTTAATTATTTTTAATAATTCAAGTTGATGGCATCTTGTCTGATTTTGAAATATTTAAGATTGGAACTTACCTAAAAACTCAAATCATTTATGGTAATATTTATCTAAATAATTTTTAATTTTGCAAACATATGTTCTTAGAACATTATCACGTTATACAACCTCGCACAACTATTTCACTGTGCAAATAGATATTTATTTTTTTTATTTATAGGCATTTTTTTATTTTTATTAAATCGTTAAAAGGTTAAAATTATGAACATAAATATAATTTTAATGCCATTTAAGATAAATAAACTCATAACTAATGATATCTGCTATTGCTTATACTACTCATATTATAAATTATAGCAATATAATACTGTAAATTGTGCTTATCACATTCCTATATTTAAAAGAACTTATTGAATATTGATTACCTAAACTTTTTTAAATACTTAACTATTGTCTACTATTACTTTCCTACATTTTAAAATGATGTAAGAATAAAAAAAATGTTACAAAAGTATAATACGATAAACTATTTTATGCTCACAAAGACTAAATATGTATACTTTTATTATATATAATGTATATTATAAATAACTAAATGTATAAAAATATAGTGTAATTTATTATGTTAACAATTTTGTACAGAAGTAGGAATTTTTTATTTTTTATTTATTGCTATTAAAAATAGTTTATTTGTAAATTAGCGTTTTAAATCCATGTAAAATAATGAATTTACCTTCATACAAAGCTTAATAATATTATTTAATTATTTGTTTATTAAAAAAAAAATACCTGATTGTTATGAACTTATTGTTTACTTTAGATATCCTGTGATTTATGATTATTTTTAATGGCTGTTGAATTTTAAATACTATGTTATTATTGCATGTTTTGTTTGATTGTACACATTTTTTTAATAAAATAAATAGACAAGTTATTGTTAGTTGATTTTTATTTACAATATATAAATTAATTTTATACAAATGGTAGGCATTGAATCATATCACTTCACAGTAGCTCATAAAACATTTAAAATACTTAATGATTTTATCTGACAGTGCTTGAATTCAATGTTAACTTGAGACCATTGTCGGCTAATTTGTACAAATAAGACACGTCATCTATATGATAAAATGATTCATGTGTAGTGATCCTCATAGTGCCTGTTGCTGTGTTTGAAAACCCTGTGACCAATGGCGCCAGTGCCACCCTGGTGTCAGCTAGATGCGACACGGCAGATGCTAATCTTTTAGCTGATTCGTCTGTCTTGTGTTTCCAACAGGCAAATACAAGGCAAAGGCGGGGTTGGTGCTTGGCGAACACCAGGAATCCAACAATGTCCTCAAACTTTTCACCTAACAGCAACAGCGAACTAATGTCGTCCACCACCATGTAAACAATACCGGTGGGGTACTTTTCCAACAGGTCTTGCGCGCATTTGACCAAATTTTCGACGGACACGGCGGACTCGATGAACGTGAATCGCTTCTGATTGTACATCGACAACAGGTTGTAATGGAACTTCAGGCCTATGTTCTGGTAATGACCGTACGTGTCTCGGACACCAACCATGCACACGGGTCTGTCGGTCTTGGTGAACACGTACCACATGTAAAACGATAGGATCACATCCGACTTGGCAGTGTCTGTCTCCTCGATGCACACGATCCGCCGGTCCGACATGTCGGGTCTGAGCACCAACTGTAATTGTTCTAATACGTCCACGTTGGACATGGCGTTGGCGATTAGACGGCGTAGTGAACAGCGGACACCAATCGGTATCCTAAGCCTAGTAAGTACTAAGTAGCTACTAACTCGCAATTTTCGTTTAAGTTTCCCGCAATTGGGAAGTTAGAACGCGTGGATAATCAACTGTTATTATTATTTACTATGATGGCATGGGCACAGATTCACCGATTTCGATAACAACTGATAACAGCGAACCTGATAAGATTATTTTATTATAAGAATAAAATATAAAAATCTAATGCCTATTTGCTTAATACCTTAGATAAAATCCAAAATCCCAATTCCTGCTTTGGTCTTTGTTCTCCTTCTCCTAATCTTCATCAAATAAATAAAAATCAGTTTTGTCGTTTTGTGATTTTTTGAAAAATGTAAAAATGTGAATGAGAATTTTGTTTTTTATTAAATAAAACCTTATTCATTTGGTTTTTAATTGATGAAGTTAGGTTTTCATCATTTTAATTTAATTCATTGATCATACTTTAATATTTTGTTTTGTAGGTAATACTTTATCAGTTATCACTATTGGTGCAGCTAGGATGGTGCAAAAGCATCTCCAGAACCCATTGTTTTTTTAGGTCTAATTATCATTATATTATTTAATCAGATGCTCTCTCAACATTACTCTATGAAAATTTTACAGGCTGTAGGCCCACAAGCCACAAAGTCACAGAGTATTAATTAATTATTATTCTATCTAGTATCGACTATTGAGACATTGAGTACTCGCGAGGGACCAATGGCCAATCTATCTAGTGTAGATATCTGTAAATACTTCATCAATTCTGTGCTACAAAATACTAACACATTATAGAAAAAAATAAAAATATAAAATATGGATAATACAATAATTATTTATTAATTAATTTATAATAATTATAGGTATATGAGTATAGAGATGTTGGATTTGATTACTTGTAAGTTGAGAAGCTTGAAATTAAGCACTTCGGAGTCGGAGTGTTCGGAACATGCACCTGTAAACCAATAGCAATAAAATCAGTAGGATTTATGCTTACTGCTTAGAACTTTAGAAGTTCAAATTTCGGATTCGGTGAGAATAATAATATGTTTATCTATTCTGTGATAACAAACTCGTTTCCAGCCGTGGAGCTTGCTGAATTTACTTTTATTTTTAAATTCGCTTATCGTATGACTTATTTGACCTTGGATTATCACATTTTGCCCTTCACCCCCCTTTACGCTTTTTTGAACGATACACCAGCAATCGACAACACTTTGTTGAAGTGTTAATGTCAAATGCTTAAACCAAATCACTGATGAAGTAGGTATACGTCCCCCCACGGCCGAAACGAATATTAATGTGTTAATCATGACCGGAACCCGAGAGGAAAGTTGATAGTTAGTTCATGTAAGGACGACTGGGAACAACAAGTCATTCATAGAATTTTGGTTTTCGACTACGTCTGTCTCGTTTTTTCCCGGTAAGGGTTTCTACTGTTGGTAAACTGAACATTATTTTTTAGGATTTTCATTCGAGTTAATATTTTTGAATTTTGTTGTCACCTTGACACTAAGCATTGAATAAATTACCGACAGAGAGGTCGGCTAACGACTTTGATGATTACTTGTTTAACGTCCATTAAGAATATGTAGAATTATTATAATCGAGTTGCAGTAATATTTACTGTTAAATTTGATCATTTTTTTTATCTATATGTGAATATTTTTGTACTTTCATCAGGTCGTGTTTTGCAAAACAGTTAAAATGGCAACCAACGATAAAAGTAAAAAGCTTTCACGATGGTATTTTGGTGGTCTTGGTTCGGCTGGTGCTGCATGTTGTACACATCCATTGGACTTGCTCAAGGTAAATATTAAATGGGTATTAATGACTGGATTAACTATTTTTAAACTGATACACAGGTACATTTACAAACACAACAAGAAGGAAAAATTTCTGTCAGCCGTTTAGCAATGAAAATCATCAGAGAACAAGGTGTATTCTCGCTATATACGGGTATTTCAGCATCATTGTGTCGACAACTGTCATATTCAACTGTGCGATTTGGAATATATGAGGTATTGCATTAAAGTGCTTGTTGACCTCTACAGTTTGTTATGAATTGTATTTTATTTTAGGTTGGAAAACAAGGAATGACCAAACCTGGTGAAAATATTCCATTCTATAAGACAGTGATGTTGGCTTCTGCTGCTGGGGCGGCTGGTGGGTTTGTTGGAACCCCAGCTGATATGATTAATGTACGAATGCAGAATGATGTAAAGTTACCACTGGAAAAACGCAGAAAGTATGGATGTCACGAAATATTAACATTTTATTTATTTAGTATTCACATTGTATTAACAGAGCTTTGGTGTGCGTATATTTATTAGTTTAACATGAAACCTTCACAATTTGAATCCATTTGATTTATGCATTGAAAAAATCAAAGTTTAGATGTCAATATTCAATCCAATACATGAATATTTATGAAAAACTCTGAATACAGAAAGTATAATTTATTGAGATGAGATATAATATATGTGAAACAGTATATGCTTGAACAGTTCAGTTAAACCTCATCAACATCACATCTTAATGTTTTATTTTAATAAAGTAAAAAATTAATTTTAATACAGTTTAATGGTTTTAGTTACAAACATGCTTTTGATGGTTTTATACGTGTTTGGCGAGAAGAAGGGTTTACCAGATTATTTTCGGGCGCATCAACAGCTACAATGCGTGCTGTTCTAATGACTGTTGGACAGTTATCATTCTATGATCAAGTGAAACAATTATTATTATCATCTGGATACTTCGGCGACAACTCTACTACACACTTTTTATCTAGTCTTACTGCTGTAAGTGAAATACAATTTAAATTTTTTTTTTGATGCAATTTTCATTATTTACCAAATTTTTAGGGTGCTGTTGCAACAACCTTAACTCAACCTTTGGATGTGTTAAAAACTCGAGCAATGAATGCTAAACCAGGCGAATTTTCAGTATGTTTTAATTGAATAATAAAAATGTCTAATGATACATATGTTTTTAATTTAAACTGAATTCATTTTTTAGGGTACACTCGATTTAGTTAGATATACTGCCAAGCTTGGACCGATGGGTTTTTTTAAGGTAAAATTATTACTCCTGTAAAATGTTTTTGATTATATATTTTTATTTTTGTTCAGGGTTATGTTCCAGCATTTGTAAGATTGGCTCCGCAAACAATTCTTACGTTTGTCTTCTTGGAACAATTACGATTAAACTTTGGTTACTATAAAGCATAATTCATCACGATAACAAAACCTTAGCCCATATAATCAATATTACATGCTATATTTTCATTGAATTTTCATACATAAACAAAATATATTCTTCATAGATACTTCACATGCAATATATATTAGAAGCCAATATTATTTTTATGAATTCTTAAATAGTATTTTGGAGGGGGCTGAATGATTATTTATATTTAAGCAGTAAACAGTGTTCATTTATTATATTTTTTATATCTCATATAACTAACATGTTTAAATGACTTATAGACTTTGTAACTAAAGCAATACGTTTTGCCACAAAATCAAAATGTTTGTTTTTTAAACTTATAATATTAAGAACAATTTTTATGGATACATATTATTACGATATAAACATAGTAAAATTGTGATATTTTAATTTTATTGATTAGTATTAATTTTCTTAAAAATTAATAACTTATTAAATAAATTAGTATCACATTTTTATTGTATATTTAAAGATTATCTGGTATATGTTTCTAAAATTAATGGTGTATACTTTAAATAATTTCTGAACTTCCATAAGATGCCAAATTTTTATTTGTTAATTTATGTTAACATTCCTGAAGTCTTTTAGTATAATTAGAGTTTTTTGTTACCATAACATAATAATATAGGTTAAAGGAATAATTAATTTTTAATTTGGGTCCAACTTAAGTATACAATAAAATTATAAAAATTCATTAATAATGGACCCTAAATATCTTTAATTTCCTTTATTAGAAGTTGTAATATTTTGTATTTTTTAAAACTAACAGTTATTATTCTTGTCGTTATTATTATTATTATTATTATATATATATTTTTTTTTTTGTTAATTATGTCTAAGTTAAGAAATATTAACATTCCTTCAAAAAAAAAAAAAAATGTTTTTTGAGAAGTATACGATTTTTTTTTTAAACCATAAAATGTTTAAATTTTTATGTGAAATATTAGTCAAACTATAAATTTATTTTTAGTGACAAGTTTACTAATTACCAAGTAGACCAATTTCACACAATTTAATACAATAACCTTAAAATATTGAAAAACTATTGTATTTTATTTATTTCTCAGGAACTGTTAATCATTGTTTTAGATTTATATAGTGCTATAATTTATGTGAATGATTATAGTTTTTATTTTTCTGATGTGAAATATTGTAATTTTATTATTTTGGAATGTGATTCATTAAACTTACTTTTATTGTTATACGTTTGAATTAAAATACTTATTACAGTAATTTCATTAAAAGTAAAAATTCAAGTTTATTCAATGTGTTTTACTAACAAATATTGATCATATATTTATTTCTGTTGCCTCTTTCAATTTTTAGTTATGCTAAAAAAAATTTTGTGTTTACTAATGTTATTTAATTAAATTTCAAATAATTAGTATATATTTATGAATTATTTTTATTGAATTTGTTTAAAAAAAAACTAAGAATTAGCTATGTGTATCAAAAAAAAAATGCTGTGTCAAGAAAAATATGTTTACTTCTGTCTATAATTATAATACCTAAAAAATAATCATATAATTTTATTATTATTGTTATTATAAATATTAAGACATAAGTTTATATTTTTTGAACATAGCACAACATGGCCAAAATGGTTTTTAATTTTTATGAAATATAAATTTTCATTTAAATTACCTACTTAAACTCCTTAAAATCCTGTGACATGTTAGCTGGGTACTTACCTGTTAAATTGATATATTACCTATATTATTAAATGTCCTATTTGTAAGATATGTGTGGCCAGATTTATATCATTATTCATGAACGCTAGGCCTTGAGTAATTTTGGGGCTACATTGTCTAATTCACCATAAACATAATAGTTGCTAATTCATCATACCTACTTATTTATACTAATTACGGTACCTATTTTATTTTTTAGCGGTTTCAAAGTGCTATAGTGTATTATGCATTTATGTGTAATAATCTTATTTTATTCACGTAGGTAAATAATATTATAATTTAAAAATTGCGCTTAACAATGTTATACAGCGGTTCTCAGCCTTGTTACATCCACGCGTACTACCTACATCCTACACGGTTTGAAAATTTTCATCTACCACTTGATTAAATGACCTTTATTTTTATTTATCAAAAATATATACGTTTATTTTACATGTATGGAATTTTACTTTATCAGGAACTACGCAACTGTGATGTTATAAGCTTGTTTAATGCACAAAAATAAAATAAAATATATCCATATGATTGTTATTGTAATGATTATGGTTTACTTCAACGGGACAATTGGTGTTATTCTCAACGAACGACTACGTCACTGACATCAATATCGGTCTCCATGTGTGTAGTTTTAAGTCTTAATTTGATTTTCAGCGTTTAACTTATTTTATATTTATTATTTGTGTACAATTTGTGGGAAAATACAAATGTGACACAAAATGGATTAAAAATTTTAAAGCTTGTATGGGCAACGTTGATCAAAAAACGTTTTATTGTTTCACGTCCAGTCTAAAAATTTGTGATATTTTTGGTTTCAGAGTTGTTTTTGGAACAGAGTCACTGTTTCGGTTAACACATGTTTCTTTTGCCAAAATGTCATCTGGAATGTTCTATGTACATAATCTTCTTCAAAAAGGTTTATAATCCATTTCATTCTTAAGTTACCCTTAGAAAAATAATGGGAAATGTTGGATTTTAGCGATTGTAGATATTCCAAAATGTCTGTATTTATAATTGGATTTGACTGAATTCGTTGTTTACCCAAAATTTGTTTAGTGTTTAGATTTCCGCGCAGTCGTTATATATATATAACCAGCTAATATAAAATTAACCAATAATATTTAATGTGAATAAATGACCTACTCAATTTTTTTTTTTTTTTTTTTATAGAGGATTAGGGAAATTTTCTTCGTGTAACACCTATGAAGAGCTTTCCATACACCACTAGTGAAAGCAAAATTATTGTTTACCTGCGGCGAATCCGCTGAACAGTAGCAAGAACGTTTTATGAATATTGCAACTCACAAGTTTCACGTTCGAAATAATGATGTAGGTATTATATAGATCGGTACTTCGTACCTGCAGTATATTATAGACTCCGATTATATCACTGCAATTCCCAGGACGACTATTATTCAAATTCGAATATTGTATTATTTATTGTCCAAAACATGTAATATAGATATAGATATCGATATATAGATTCAGATAATAAAATGTGTAGGTATAATAAGTTTAGAGATATTATTAAAATGGTATGAGAAATGATTGGATACAATTTAAGGAGACAAGTAGGAACTATTTATAGATTGATGTAATGTTATAGGTAGTCGGGTAGTTTTGGTGCAAATAGGCAGGGGGCTTGGGTGCCCCATTTAAAAACTACTACTTAGAGCACTTGGTAGTATCTACTAAACTTATATCGTTTTTAGAAAATAATTTATCGATGGGAAGGGTTGAAATCCTTACAAAAGTTTTGGACTATTTCCACCTGTGCCAGGTATTTATAATACCTATTTAACATAATAATATTGTACACAAATCGATTTAAAAACATTAAATACCTATATATTTTGTTGATCGTATATTTAAAAAATATTAAGTAAATTCAATTTAATCCTAGTGGTATTTTGCTAACCATACAAAAACAAAAACAAAATTTGTTTTTTTACGTATACGTTACAAGCTTATATAATCATAACTAACAATAATATGATAAAATAAATAAATAAATATATATATATATAAAAGATTTTACCTATGGGTTTATAAATTAGTACTTACTATGGGCTATGGCCAATTGATAGGTTCAATATCGATCGATCGTGATATGAATAAAGGCAATTATCTATATTTTCGTAGACGAATTTGCGAACTTATATATAATCAAAAATTTAAATATACACGTATTTATTATTAGCGTATTCAATGATTAATTTATAAAAGAATATACCTACCATAATTTCAAAAATATTTAACAATAGGTCTTGAAATATTAAAAAGTTTACTAAATTATGTTTTGATTTTTTTATCGACATTTTTTGCAAGGTGCTAATTTTGAAAGCAAGCTATTGCATTGCAAACTATGTATACAATTTTCATAGTATGAACATTGAACATGGTCTAGAATTGTCATCCGTATGGATATATAAATATTTATGTATTACATCGATGTATTGAAAAAAAAATGTCAGTAGGTAGTAGGTACCTACCTATATTACACGATACGCGACATCTGTACGGTATAACCTATAACCATGTTATTTTTGTTTATGTTTTAGACGTGAACGAGTGGACGGGAAGAATCGATAAACCTCATTTAAAGCGATTGGAAATCGGCGGAAACAGCACAGAAGCCGGAACGGGCGATGGAATTTCGTCTCTGGAGTGTGGAACGACAACCGATTGATTGATGGGCGGCAAACTTCCTAGGTCCTTTTCCCAGTCGAAGCCAGCCGCCAAGCTCTCGTTGCTGTAACAAATAAATAATGGCGAATGCGTATTAACATGATATTATACATTGATTCAGAGGCGCAGAAGTACCCTATATAATATGCAGATTTATGTCATGACATGTTAGATTATGTTTTGTAGGTTTGAAATTTCATCACAACATTCAGAACATTCACCCACGACAACCACCCACTCAGCCAATTATAAGTCATAATCCAGATACGATCTCATAATTGTCCAATTGACAATTCATGAAAATATTAAAATAAATTGATTTCGACGCTATTGAACAAACAGTATTGTTAGGAAAACGGTTTTGTCACATAGAGTTCGAAAATAATAAAAATACGACTTCATATCATGCTAATTTATGTGTTTATATAAGATGACCTTATAGTGGTATATGTAAAATATAATATGTGTACACAAAACGATTCATCTAAAATGATTACTCCCTTTTTTCCTTAGTTAAGAAATTCCGTTTATTGAAATTTTAAGTAGATATATTTAAGGATCATTTGTTTAAATTTGTTATAGATACGCTTAAATTTTTTTTGCTATTTGAAAAATGTCTTGGTGTTATATAAACTTTTTTTTTAATGAAGAATTAACCATTTTGATTGTAAATTTCTAAAGAAGTGAAAATTTAAGATGTAGATACATTTAAATCAAAATAATTTGAATAAATAGTTTTTAAGTTATTAACATAAATATACTAAAAATAATAATCTGATTGTCGGTAGGTAGTAGTGTAATACTACTTACCTATCTACATAGCGGGTTAACAAAAATTTATCATTTATTTTGTTTGTTTATTATTCTTAGAAAATGTTTACAAAATATATTTTAATGTTAATATAGATTAATATTAATTCATTTTCTTATAATTCTTAGATAGTATGTACGAAGTTAAGTATCACAAAAACTACTTGCTTGAATTTCGATATGATGACAGTTTCAAAAGACTTAGCTGCTTACAATTTAAAGGAAAAAGGGGATTATGATTTGTGAAAAAGAAGTTGGGATCGCCACAGCGCACTTCTTTAATAGTATAAAAAAATCCAAGTACCTACCTATTAGATAATATATTCAACAATTTAAAAAATCAAAATTTAAATCAAATCATTAATAAAGGAAAAAAAAGAGTGAATTTATTATTTAGTGAATAATCTCGTGTACACTATAGATACCTCGAAGTTGTGCATAGTCTCGATTCCGGCGTAATCGGTTGACCAGTTCCATTTTCGGTATACGTCCCATTTTTGTCTGGCTGGTCGTCAATGGTTGCTTTTTCGAAACTGCAATTTAAGTAACACGTAGTACACTAGTAGTACATACTCAAAACATGTATGTATTAGTATTTCTGTAATATTGCTGTTTATAATACAATTTTACACAATCTTACACTAAGTTATGACAACTATTCAAGATGAGTAATTTAGTATAACTAGCATTAGCGAGTAAAATGCTAACTATAGGACAAGACATTTTACACTTCATAAGACAAATAGTATATAACTTAAGATGACCGCGAATAACTATATTATAATCAGGGTCTCTATTTAAGGAGATATATTCAGCGTCTACATCAATTTTTTTCAAAAATGTTTAACTTTATTGAAAATATTATTTTTACATAACTTATTCATGTCTTTGTAAAACATAATTTTTGAAATATTATCTATGATATTTTTATAATTCTAAATCGTTATAATTTTAAGCTCCTATACTTTTTTTACATTAAAATATTAACTTTCTATTACTACTCATTTTAAATAAATTATAAGTTTTTACGATTTAATTACAGTGAATAAATAAATATTTAAATTTAAAAATTATATTATTTCAATTATTGCTGTATTTGTATAGGCATTTATTAAAACATTGATACCTAACTATTTATTAATTTAAATTTTAGACAAATCATTTTATTTATTTAATGATTATTCATTACACTGTTTCATGTTTTATATTTATTGGCTGATTATCAATTGCATTAATTTTTTCTATAGTATAAGAATGAACTTGATGTGTATTTGTGTTCATAATTATTTTTAATTAAAAAAATATATCAATGTTTGAGATTCAAACAAAAAACCGATTAGGTAGCTCATAACTGTAATTATCTACGGTGATTCCAATACAAGAGGCGTTCACTATCTATAAAGTTAAAACAGGAAGCAATTTAAGTAACCGTTAAGAAAAAAGATTAGCGTGAGACAATTCAAATGAGTTTGGTGAAACGCAGTCAACGTGCGCTACGGCTATAGGCTCTAACATTGATTTTAAATACTGTTTAAAATTATTTTAAATAGTTGTTTCTGTTTGAATCTAACGATGATAACAGTCAGGCACGTATACAGGGGGTTTAGACGTCCCTATAGGGAGTCTCCCTAAATTTTTTTTGCGCACATGCTTAACAACAGTGTATCTACCTCTTGTCAATTGACTGTATGGTAGGCGTTAATGGTATGGTGTTTACATCCGTATTGTAAGAGTTGGCGTGTATTTCTTGCTGATACGATCGATACAGCTCTTTCAAGTCGGTCGGCAACGGCACGTTTTGACCTAAAAAAATCAGAAATTTTGAAATCTTCAGTTGCACCAAACCATTTTCTACGTCTTATTGACGTACCGTACAATTAAGATGCGCTATAATGGCTATTACATATACAAGTTAAAACATATTTTGAAATGCATATTGCACGTATTAACAGAGGTAATTTATATAGTATTTATTATTTATTAATGTAATTATAAATGTATATTATTGGTATGTATAACAAAAGGTATTTCTAACTTCCAATTTTACAATTTTTAATTCATCATAATTTTTAGATATATTTAGCGTTTAATAATTTTATCCAATTATACAGGTATTGACGTATTATGGTAATTCTTAAACTTTTTAACTGAGTGTTCTCCTTTTGAACAAGTAATTAATATTATGGTGAAATTATTTTTGGGCCAGGTGTTATAAGATTTACATAGGACGATGATCGATGATAAATAACTAAAATAACTCTTAGTGGATGAACATGAAAATAGTTAAGGTATAATTAAACATCACAGTTCTAGTGTTCTCTTTATAAAAATCATTTAACACGAATATATGTAATATCAAAAAAAATTTCAATTTTAATCTTATAACTTTTTTTTTTGTATTTATTTTCAAAATAGTAAGTATTTATATAAAATACTTAAAGGTAATTATTTTAATTCACTTTCGCGTCTTCAACCTTTCAGCAGGTCCAACCAAAAGTACACCTCGACCCCGAACACATTGTATATTATTAAAATACCATATACCTTCGATAATCTGCCGCTGTTTCGTGATGATGTCATCGGTAATGCGTTGTTGACGGTGCATCTTGTGTAACAGATCTCCTCTGCGGCGCAGCTCGTACGATTCGACTAGCCGTTCACCCTGTAACGCCATTTTGTCGGCTTCCAATTCGTGCACGCGACATATTAACGAGAGCAGCTCGCGTTCTGTCTCAGAATCCAAACGTTTAGGAAGATTCTAGGGACAAAAAATAAGTTTTTTCAAATTATATTTTCGATTTTCTTCGAACACCAATGAGAGTTTATCGCTCGTATATTACATTTTCTAGGGCCACTGCTTGTTGTCTAACGGTGTCCAGTTCGCTAACGGTCTTAGACCTGAGTGCCACGTACCTTTCCTGTTCGTGTTCAATGTAACTTAGATCTGACCACGCTTGGTGCATGTTTAGCTGGTCGTTGTCGAAAGAATCGGTGTCTGTATAATGTATACATAATGTATTATATTATATTGCTGTTCCAATAATTATATTTAAATATGTTTTACGATACAGACATACAGTATAGCCACATATACGGCTATACTAGATAGGTATATTACACATATACCGTATCCCCATATCCATATGTATATGCTATATATATATTATATATAGAAAGCAGCAAAGATTGGGGATTAACTATTAAGTTAAAAAATCTTATTAACTTAACAATTAAATTAGTTTAATTGAATGATGCAGTAACTATTAGTTTTATTCAGATAAGTTACTGATAATTAATTTATAGTTGATCATTGAGTGTTAGAGTAGTTTAACTAACAAAAAAAAAAAATTCTGATAAATTATGAAACATGACTTATTTTAAAATAAACAGTTAATTTTAAGAATAAAGTGGGCCAAAATGCCATATCAAATTTTTTTAAATCAATTGTTGTATGCTTTTCAAATATGTAATGTACTCGTATCCTGCTAGCTCACTTGACGTATTATTAGAACTCTTGGTGTTCGGCCTTCGCTGGCTGCTGGTTCGCCGGCAGTAAAGTTTATTGTTTCTCGACTCCCATTGGCTGATTATTTGGTGTTGCCGTTCGGCTTCTACGCCCAGCGACAACAGGTGTCCATCGATATCCATCAACTTTCGCCTGTAATATTTGCGTAGTTGTTATTAACGAAAATTGGTTGTGGAGTTATCTGGAGCGACTTAAAGTTTAGTACAATCGCAAAGGACTTTAAGTGGAGATTTTTGCACGAGAAGACGTTGCTGTGAAGTGTTTGTCTTTACAACTTTACTGTGAGTTAATTTTTTATTGCTGTACACATGGGACTTGATTTAATATTAAAAAAAATTACATATAAAAAATTTAAGAAAATATTGTGCTTAGGGATGAATTTTCTAACTCTAAAATCAGCTATGTGTTTACCTAACTGGTGTACATATAGGTACTCTACCTGAGCTTCATTTGTTCGCGGAACGTGCCCACAATCTGGTCCCTTATCTGGTTTACAGGCGTGTCACTGTGCTGGCCACTCGAAGATTTTGCCCGGCCCTCATCCAGTTTTGTCCTCAGCCGAGAGATTTCGTTGCGCAGGTCTGATATAACCGATCTGTACTGATTCACCTGAAACGACACGTTTAAAACGTTTCGCTCGACTTTGTGCGAGATTCCACTGGCTCTGCGAAAAATTACAAGTGAGCTTTATTAACACATGTACAGCCGTATCGCTGAATTTCAGAGATTCAAATAATAATGACATAAACATTTAAAAGTATAGCTATAGTAAATCTTAAAAATATATAAATGTTTTAAGTATTGTTAATGCCTATATTTGATTATTTGTAAATATGAACACGGTGGTCAGTATGTACTATGTATATTGGCTATATTACCACTACCAATATGGCAAGTAAATGAGTTTTATTACAATAGTATTCACGTTTACTATAAAAATAAAAGGAGAAAGATGTTCTAAAAACATAGAAAAATCTCTTTAAAAATCGAATATGCAATGAAATATGAAATAAAAATATTATTAAAATAATCAGTATCACTTAAAATATATTTTCCACTTACTAAGAGTTTACGTTTCATAACATCTGCAGAAAGAAGATGCGATGCGCATCAATATCGTGGATTCATATATTATTTTAATTTAATATTATGGTTCATACAAGATTATAAAAACTAACAAGGGTATTTGGTGTCTTGAATTCTAGAGTCGATACACAAAAGATACGACACTAAACATTGTATAGAATAGTGTATACCTAAGGAATGTTTGTTATAAACTTACAGCTCATAATAGTCAGTGAAAAGTAAAAACTATTGTTTTTAATTAAATTTTCCTCTCTGCTTCATACAACGATAATGATATGGTATTGAGATTAACTGTTAGTCTACGCATGTTTTCGAGGGACTTATAAAAGTAAGCTTTACAACGTTAAATATTTTTAATTAATTATTGCAAAATAATGTTTATATAATATCATATATAGAACTGAAACAATAATACAAATAGTAAAATACGTATTATTATATTAATCACCTAGCGGCGTAGATCAAGGTGTTTCTGGTCTCATCCTTGTGCGACGTTGCTGAGCTAACGTGTGCGATCATGACAGTCCGACAATTTCCGCTTAAGGACTCACGAAGCAACCGGGTGAGTTTGCTGTCCCGGTAGTTGACGAATCGCGGGTTCGTGCCTCCACTCAGGGCGTTTATGCAGTTTCCCAAGGCCAGCAGAGACCTGTTGATGTGCGCCCCTTCTTTTAGTCGTTTTCCTCGATTCTGAAATCCGTCAAATCATTTATATTATTGTACATTTATATATATTATCTTTACACTGATACTGAAAACTATAATTGAAGAAGTGTGATAAATTGATATGTCGTTACATATAAAAAAAAGTTCTTGACATTTTGGAGTGGTAGCCGGTAGGGAATTTACGAAGTGTACGTCGTATTAAATTCGGTGAATATTGCCTGGTCGTATCGCAACTCATCATTACGTCCACGTACCTTAGTGAAGCTAGCTCTCTCCGAGCCCGCCAGGTCGATCATGAACAACCTGCCTTGCCGCACGGCCGTTGCTGTCCTGGATGCCTTGCACACCGTCACGCTGAGCAGCGCGTGACTCCTGGAAGACGTTTTGTTCACACCCGTCGGCTCCACCGTCCTCTGCCGGTTGCCTTGGTGCAGCAGCCCCATCACCTCGTCAATAGATACTACTACAACTTCCGACAGTCCGGTCACTTGTATGTTACGATTTCTGGACGTGTCTTCGCGAAGCTCTAGAAAACCCGACGCCGGGTTTAAGAGGTCCCGGATATTCTCGTTGTATATTTCTAAATACGACATTTTTACCTGTGCACCCAAAGTTCTAATATTAGTAAATAACATATAATCAAATTATTAAAATCATTAATAACAAGTGTGGAAATCCTGTCGATGTGACGAGTGAGATTTTTCAAACGACACGCATCCAAATCGAATCAAAAGTTTTTGAAAAACGTATAAAACTCATCGTTATGCCTGCATATATTTGAAAATAAATCAACAGGTGCCTATGAAAATAAAAGTTAATGATGTGCATTGTACACGTGTTACTTTAAAAATGAAAAAAAAACAATTTCAAATAGGTGTCTACTACTCGAGCCTTGGAGCATCTATGCACTCATCGGTGACTAAAAAAACTTGGAATTTGGAACGTATGTCTTAATAATATTATTATAATGTGAACGTGTGACTAATCCGTCTTCACCTGATTAAAACGTTATTTATAATAATAATATTAAAGAGTATACGATTGTTAATGTGTTTATTATATTTTATGGATTTAAAGATTTATATAAACATTTTATTAATTAGTATTATCAATAAGTATTATTCAGATATCATAAACAAATTGTTTTGATTATAATTAATAAATAATTAACTTAAGTATATTCTAATACATATCCGTTGGTTATTATAGAACGGACAGCGAATAATATTTACAATATTCCATCGTTAAAATACCTACATTAAATCAATTAGACTGTGGGTAAATATAGTTTTAATTAGGGAATAGTTAAAAATTAATAATTATAAACGTTATAGGTAGCTATAGTGTATCATAACATTATTTGGCAAATTAATTAATAAATATACGCTTATAATAAATTAATTTATTAGAAGTTTCAGAAAACTGAAATCCATTTTATGTTCATTAAATTTGCATAGATACTCTTGATGTGATTTTTCAGTGGGTCAAATAATATAAACAATATGTGCTTAGGGTTTGAATTTAATGATTATGACATAAAATATCGAGTTTAATATTTTATTTGAAGGCTAAAATATTTCAAAAACGTTTTGCGCATGGAATACAATACACGTTAAGAATACATAAACAGGAATATTTTCTAAGACTATAAATTATGTTATGAAATGTTCAGAGGTCAGATTTTCAAGTATTTGTTAATATCGTATATATATATATGTAGCTTAAAGCTTAAACCAGATTTAGAAAGCTCAACGTATCAATGTGTCATGTTTTGTTCAACAACAAACTTTAGTATGTAGTCGACTCTCGGTAACTTAAATCGCAATTGCTCAAAATATTTGATATTTCAAATAAAACATTTTTCCTTCAAACATTATTGATTTTAAATGTCTCGAAGTTTCTATTAACTTGAAAATTTTCACCTTCAGCTTTGAGTTACCGATAGTCGATTGTATATTTTAGCAAATAATATCGCAACGTATAACATTCATAACGTATTTTATAGTATATACTTACGTTATATTAAATGCAATACATAGTAGTAAAATTAATTATACATTAAAAAAATATATACATAATATTATAATAAGGTATGTGTCTAATAGAAACTAATGGAAATCTGTTTCTCTTAATTTTCAAGATATTATATCAAAAAAACAATTTTTTCATATTTTTTTTTATTTTTTATTTTTTTGTACTTCTCAAGAAGAATTTTTTGAGTTATTTAACTTTGTGTAATAAAGATATCAGGTTCATAATAGGTTTGTAAGATACGGGGGCTTTATACAGTGGTTTAAAAAAAATTAGTAACTTATATTAATGTAATTTATAATTTGTAAAAATGGCCTTAATATAATAAATATAATATACAATGTTGCATCTAATTCATATTTTTGTAAAACTATAATATTTTTAAGGGCAAATATTATCTTTTGTAAAAGCACTTTAATAACCGAGTACCTAATACTATTCGTAATACGAATTTTGAATTAGTTTAAAAGACGTACTCGAAAAACGACGCGCGAGGTGATATTATTAATCGTTTTGTTCGCACTCACCGTGTACCGGTAAGCGTTTTTGCTCACTATGTCGAACAAATCGCTTATTGCTCGGACCATAATGCCCGTCTCTCCGCCGTGTCCAACCATCGTGTGTGTTTTTCCGCTGCCCGTCGCCCCGTACGCGAACACTGTGGCGTTAAAACCGACGAGTATGTCTTTCACCAAGCTTTTCGTCGTCTTTTCGTATACTTCATCCTAATCAAATTAAAAAAATATATACATTCATCGTTGTTTTAGCGGAATAACATCCGATCTCTACTATATAATATGATCTTTTATATTATTATATACGCGTTATTTACTATGTATATGAAAAAAAATGGTTTCGAGGTTTCGAGCATGTACAAGTGGCGTGGTATGATCGGTAAAAACGTAATAAATGATCATAGACGAACAACAATAAATTATCGGCTTTATCATGATTCATAATCATAATCATGACGCGTATATCTATATCATGCAAGAGTACGGCTTAAAATTTAAATAATCTATTGAAATCCGTTAAGGCGTTAAGATATTGAAGGTTTCATCGTGTTTTTTACCTGAGTTGAATCTTCGTCAAAAACTACATCGAACGCGTAACGTTTTTGTCCGGTCCTTTTTTGTCGAAGTACGTCATCTCTTTCTTTATCGGTTTCTTCGACAACGATAGTCTAATTAAACAATACAATTAAAGTTTTCACAAGTATCTTGATTACACGAGAAATTATATCTATTATGTTTTTTTATGTTACTGTATTAATATGCATATGTTATAACTTATAATATAGATACTAATACTATCTATATCGTCGCTATATTAATAAATACTATAAGTATATACACTGAGATGAAATTTTGATTGAGGAGCTATTCTTGTTAATTGTTTTATTCAAGTATATAATTTTCATAGCCCACATTGACACGGTTATAATACGTTCAAATTAGTTTAACTATGTAAATATATGTATATATATTTATAGATTATAGATAGGTATATATTAAGTCTTTAACATCTAGTAAAACATTTGTCGTATATCATATTATTGATATTGTACAATGATGTGTATACATATTTCAGTTGTACACGTATTTAATGTGTTTATTCTATTCGTTAGATACTTAAATTTCAAACATTGCAACTGTCATCTTCTTTAGTTCATAAAAATTTAAAATATAGTAAAAAAGCATAATACTTAGTAACAAAATAAAAAATGTTTAAATGGAGATATCAGGTACAATAAATGATTGACTTGTATTTTTAAATAAATAAAATAAAAGATCAATAGTTTTATTTGACAACTAAAAAAATTATTGTTTGTGTATAATAAGCTTGAGTATAGGTTGTATACTGATAATTTAATGAAAAGTAAAGCTATAGGTAGATAGGTACAATGTAAAAACCTGAAATAGTGAAATCATTACACAATAGCTATCGAATAATAAAATTATTAATTGTTATGTATCTATTTTTAATATTTTATCGAGGGTGGTGAATCAATAAATTGCAACATATATGATGTATACATTTCCAATTAGTTAGTATACATCATAAATATTTTTTTTTGGCTTATTTACTGGAATATCTGTAGCGAGGACTTTCAACGTATTGGATTGAGCGAACACCTTTACTCCAAGTGCATATTTTGTTTGGCTACAATCAGTTTATATTGCACCTATATACGTATATATGTATAATAGCAATCAAATATTGTCCGAAGGCATTTATGTTCAGATCAGGGCATACTGATATGACATAGGAGTAATATTTTATTTTTTCATTACGATTTAGGAAGGACAAGTATTTATTTACCAGCTAACTCTATATTTTGTATACAAGTATCTTTACGAAACGGTATAACAGACGTGCAACAATAAGTGGGTCCCGCGAGCAAAAGCCACACACACTGCATAATGTGACGGTGGCAACCGTATAAAATGCAATAATATATCTGTCAATATCGCTGCTCTGTACAACACGCGGTGTAAAGGTCATATCGACATCGGACTACCCGTTTCGTTTGTTCACGTAAATAAAATATTTGGCACAGGTGCCCGTTTCTTAATTGGATATGAATATTGTGTATAGAATGGTAATTCGTGGGCGTCACTGTCACTGAGCGGTACAAATGCGGATGGGTATAAAACGGATCATCCGGCCAGTGGTGAGTATCAGTCATTCGTCTGTCTTCAGTCGCATTCGTTCAACGCAGAAAATCGAGTAACTCACGAACAAAATCACCATGCAATTCCAAGTAAGTCGAATCATATAAGTTCTCCGTTAAAACGTTCGATTGTCGGAACATTTCGCGATCATACATTTAATATTTTTCATTCGTGTGTGTCTGGAAACACAACACAAAGCTATATGTTATATATCGTATATAACTTAATTTGTATAGTAGTTCTGATAAAAATCGAGTTGTAAATAATAATAATAATAATCAGTTAGTGTCCAATGCTCGGACGAATATATTGCTACATCAAGACGAGCTATAAATTCCAAAAAATCACACCTAATACACAAAACACCCTTATAAGAATTAATTATTTTTTGGCGTTACACTTAAGGCAATCAATTATTATATATTATTATTATTATTATTATTATTATTATTATTATTATTATATTATATTACATTATATATATATATTATTCTACTGTCATAGCAGGATTATAAATTTAATAAGTATTCAGTAGGTTAGTATATGATTGAAGGCGTAGCGATGACAAACGATGGTCAATATTAATTTCCATTTATTCGTGTTTCAGGTGACTTTCGCAGTACTCGCCGCGTTCATGTGCTTCGCCGCTGCCGCCCCCGCAACCGAAGAAGTCAAATCGTCGCCTTCGCCGTCCGCGGCCCAATCTGCCGCTTCGGGCACCGATCGTGACAAACGGTTCGTAGCCGTCGCTGCACCAGTCGTAGCCGCCACACCTTACGCCGCCGCACCTTACGT